CATCATAACTGCTAACACATAAAATAAATAACAACTAGCAATAACAGAATAACAAATTGACCACAGCTGTGACTAGATACATTCTACCCTACGGACAGAGGGACCACAGCTGTGGGGCCCACATCAATGTTCTCTACAATAAACACGTGCCATCTATTATCTTTTCACTATGATGAGCCCAACTCAGCCCCCATATATTTCTGCTAAATCTGAACCTGAGACACCTGACCCTTTGGATCTCCAGTTCCATCTAGAAAGCATGCTTCTAGAGTAGATTTTAACATGTGTCTGATGGCATAATACATGCTTCATGTAACCATTTTAGATTTGACCTACATGGATTAACATGTTCCAGATTGTGACATTTTTAACTCAGTGCATGAACCTATTCTCCATACTTCAAAATTTGCCCTTTTTTGTCATTCTATTTTGTTCTAAACAAGTAAGCATGATACTGAAAGCATGGCAAAGTTCCACAATTATTTTTCCCCACCTCTTTTCTTCATGGTTTATCTAATTTTATTTGCTCAGAACTAATCACATGGACACATCCATGTGTTTATAGCCTTTGCATTCATATACAGCATAATACCTATTTTTCTGTCTTCCATGTAAAATTCATTGTAATGGCCAGTAATTCTGGATGAGGTGGCTTCCTGTTCCTATTTGGACAGCCCCATATTCCTCCTCACACTTTTCCCCCAGTTAACTTATCAAATCACTAATTAATGTTAGAACACTCTTTCTATTCTCTCCCATCATGTAGGTTTTCATGGTAATTTTTTCTTCATTTCATTCTGCACTGGACCAGGGCTATTGTTACTTGGTGCAATGGTAAAATCTCGGGCTAATAAGTGAGAAAATGCCAGAGTTTAGGACTGTGCCCAGTTAACCCCTCCCAACTCCTGATTGCTGTCATCAGAATTGGGTATAGCCTTTTCTAGTGTACACTGGACAATATTGCTTCACTTCCTGGATAAGAACTTTCTGTAACTAAAACTTGGAGAGAAGATCATATATATGATATGGTTACAAACTCAATCTATATGATTTGTGGTAGTCCATTTCTCTTTTTTTCTCTAATTGATTATGGTTTTTCACTTGATCTTTGTGTTCTATTCATTTACTTTTAATCCGTTCCATCTGTTGTGATTTTATTTATGATATTATTATTATGCCCTTAATACTCAATATATGATGCCCTGTTGTCTTTACTCAACATTTTATGCCCTGTGTTTTAGTACTAATAGTTCTGAACAGAATAATAGCCACCATCCATATAATATGTGGCGATTTTTTCAGTTAGATTGCATTACTGAACTTGGTGCAGCAACTTTACTTCATTATAGGCTTATATCCTATTTAATTGTGGCTGTATTCTCCCAAGTCCTATCTAAAAGTTGAGGTATCGGAATAAGAGTGTGCCTAAGATAGCACAGGTTCCAAGTATGAACTAAAGTGACTGTCCCAAGTATAGTGTAAATCAAGTTGGTTTTTGAGCAAATTTATCAAGTCCATCTGGCTATGACCTAGATTTTGTAAAGATTAGTCAAATTAAACTGTCAATAAAAAAACAAAATATGCTGTAAATTAACAGGGTATCCAAGTTTAATCATTGTATACCAACAAAATTAATATATCTCATCCAAGTATGTCCATTAGTTCAAGTCATTGGATACACTTGATTATCCCTTTTCACTCTTGTAGAATCTTTTTTAGAAGATAAGGATCAGCTTTTATTATACTTATATGCCTTTATCTTGCTTAGTGCACTTTTATGCTGATTCTTGCCATCTTTCGATAGATTGGTCTCTTGCTGTAATTGAGGGGGTTGAGATGCAGAGATTTGTGTATGGATGGCAATTTGTTTTGGGTGTAGTAATAGGGTATATACTACAGAGCGTTTTTTCCTTTGGGACTTTTTGTATATCATCACTCTCTCTTAATTATTAATAACTTTTTATTGAAATACTTTATCTTGTTTAGAAGAAAAGATGTACATACTTCATTTTATTGTTTTGGAGTTATTTTGTATCCTTTTGATATTAAATATCTCCCTATACCCTAACTAATCATAAGCCATGATGCCCAGATAGGATACACAGACACGAATATGGGAAACAGGGATACGACTCTCCATTTTCCTATGGTCCAGGACATGGATACAGGCACAGGCATCCCATTTATTATACTTATATCATGTGCCCATTTCTATTTTTGAAGCTATCACTTCTCAATATCCATATATTGCAAAAGTTAATTAAACTCCTACCATATACATATTTTCATAGTTTAATTTATTAAAATGTATTGTTTTACAAGTTTTCATGTGTTAATGCTATACAAAAATACTATCGAAGAGTCATGTAGTATTCAGTGTCTTATCAGATATGTATGTGTAGGTATATTAGGCATATACAGGTATTGAGGTATCATAGTTCATAAATGGTAATGAATCATGAATCAGGTATGGGAGTGGATATCTGTTTATATTTCCACAAGTCAAATTAGTAATGAATCATGAATCATCCATATACAGGTATTGAGGTATCATAGTTCATAAATGGTAATGAATCATGAATCAGGTATGGGAGTGGATATCTGTTTATATTTCCACAAGTCAAATTAGTATGTGTAGTTCTTTTCCATTTTATTTGTTTGTCTTAGATGAGTTCATATGACTCTTCTATCTGCAATCTTCTTTTAAATATCATGGCATTGAAGTATTTGAAATTCACTTATCTCTTACTTCTTTTAAACGTATACCAATGTATTGGATCAACACTTGATTGTAGCCTGATTGAGTATTAAATCTTTACTATTATAAATAACAAGAATAGAGGCATTTACCAATATAAGCTTGTAGATGGAATATGCTTATGAATAAGGTAGATGTAGTTACTGATTTGATTTTAAATATTAGCTGCTATGTCATCTCTGGTTCACCCAATCCACCAATGTCAGAGAACAGCTGAAAGCCTGAATAGAGGATGAAATGTGTCAATAGCTTCAATATATGATGAGCCAAGTCATCATCTGGAATGGAGTTACACTTATGAAATGTTGTATTATCCAGTAAACTGACACGTCATATGTCTAATTATCTTCTTAACTCTTGAAGTAACAATTAGTGTTGTCCTTGATATTGTCAAATAATTTGTTATTATTGGCATCCAGGATAGCTTTCCATTATTGAACTTAGACTTCAAGATACCCTGTATCATATGCACAAAAATCCTAGCTGTCAGGGAAAAAAGGCTCTCTCTGTTCGCTATTTGGTCGCACTCTTCTCGTGTGGTCATTTACCAAGCTCTAGTCACCCCCCCCCCCTCCTTTCCCCCTGAAAGAAAAGCCTCTTTTTGGTCTTTTGTATTTTTAATTGGAGATCTAAAATTGTTGTACAGCTGGTCAAACTAGGGAAAATATTCAATATATGGTGGTAATTTTAACTTTTAAGCCATGGACTGGGGCATCCAACATCTGACATATTCTGTAGTCCACTTACTGATGGGTATATATGAACGCCAGTAGCATCATCATCTAAGCCTTGCCCCAACTGTTGTAAATAAAGAAGACTTCTATGTATTGATATAACTAGGAATAGTATTACAGAAACTTGCCTTAAAGAAGATTCTAACAATCAGTTGAAAGGGGGTATTTACAATATTTATCATTCTTCATGCAGAGAAAGAACCTCTCATAAGCTGATGCCATCTTAGTTGCAGTGAACATGGACAGTGCATATGCCTTACACGCCATACCCTTCTTCTGCAAAACGGATGGCCCATCTCTTATGGCCGACTCCAAGGCCTCGACAAAAGAACCAACATTGGGAGAGAATGTATATCCAAATCCTTGGTTGAGGACTATGGTCCCTGTGATGCTAGGAAAGTTAGGGGTTAAGACAGGCTTCCCACATTGCATTGCTTCGATCAATGTCAGGTCAAGCCCTTGAGGTCTCAGTGTAGGGTTCACAAACACATCAAGTGCGTTGTAAAACTCAGACAGCTCCGAAGGATCCAATGCACCCAACACCTTGACGCTAGGCCCCAAGTCCTCATATCGTCTTCCCCATGGGCCAGATCCAGCTACAAGCAAAAAAACACCTGGGTGGCGCTCACATATTGATGAGAAGGCTTCATAGAGAAGGGGATGCCCTTTGTCCCTTACCAACCGCCCTGCAACTCCCATCACCACGCTCGCATTAGAAGGGACTCCATATCGTTGTCTAAACCTGGCACCAACCTCTGGGTCGTAGACAAACTTGGTGTGATCAACTCCATTGAGTATAACATGGACATTTCTTCTAGGAAGCTGATATATGTTAACAAGGAGCTCGCCTGCGCTATTGCTAATGCATATGTGCTGCGTATAGCTGGAGAAGAACCTGATTTCATCAACTAGGCGTGGCATGGCGTCCCGAAGGTCGGCACTGGGTGTTGGGCGAACCCCCTGAGGCTCCAACAGAAGCTCTTGGAATAACTTGGAATGCATGATTTCATACCAAATCCCATGCCAAGTGACAGCCACCTTAGGCACCATCTTTGCACGCCAATGCGGCAATGACACACTCTCAGTGTGGACATAATCAAATGCTCCAGCCATGTTCTCTCGATTGAAGATCTCAAAAGCTAGGGAGCAATTGACAGAGCCATGGTCATTGGCCGCGAAGTGGACATGGAGGCTACCTTGGTGGATGTCCGGGCGAGGCAGCCTATCAGATGGGACAGTGAAGACACGCACCTCGTGTCCCCTTCCAGCGAGTGCACTGTATAGAGTTGAGGCGTGGCGTTCCATGCCACCAGGGGCAGCACCTACCGGCCATGTCTTGGAGAAGACAGCGAGCTTCAGTTTCTCGGAGGCCGGACCAAAGCAAAGCTTGTTCCACGGAAACTGGGCCTCTCGAAGATCACCGTAGAATCGAGGATGCTCCGATCTAAAGAATGGTTCCTGGAGATTCAGCGCTGGTGGTTTGATGAAGAGAAGAGAGGCAAGGAGTGCAAACGTAAGGAAGGTTGTAAACCTGAAGAAAGAAGATGAGGAGGAGGTCTTAGAGGGTTGATGCTTCATACCCATTTCTACAGAAAATTGAACTTTGACTGTTGAGTGATGGTTTGAATTTGATCCATCCTTTTTCATGTATCTTAAACAAATGGTCGAATTAAAATAGTGGGCTTTAATTATTAATTTAAGGTGACGTACGTTAATCTAAAGAAATAAAATATAAAGTTGATCCATAATTTAACTATATTTAATCATACTGATTTACTTGATTTCTTACCATTAACGCAGGGTCTCCTTGAAACTTTTCCATTTGTGAAAAACTGAACATTGTGAGTTGGAATTCTGTGCATTGCACATGGCTCTGCTCTCCTCATAACCTTCTGTATTTATCTACTTTCAAACTTTTTAAGCAAACAGTACTTGTTTTGACTATATTGAATGTAGAAGTTTCAACTTACCCAAAATAAAATAATACTATATTGATGAATTTTGAGAGCCTTGGAGTTCGAACTCTAAGGTTTAATAAACCATCACAAGAATTCACGATTATTGAAAAAGTAAAACAAAACGTTTGTGGGGGAGAAAGGTGAAAGCTTGATGGTACCGTCACAGAACAAGGATAATACTGGGAATCACCTCTCAGATGAAGCCAAGTTCGTATCTGTAGTTCTCGTTTTACTGGCAATGTCTATAAGATTAAGCTTTTCAAAAACGAAAGCGTACAAAAGACTGATTAATTAATTTTCAAAAGCGTTCTCAGGCTCTTAGCTTTCAATAAATTAGTTTTAGTTATTATTGCATTTGTATGCAGCAAAGTTAAGTCTCTAATTTAAGTTATACTCTTAAAAAGGGAAAATTTTGAATTAGTACAATTTGGGCTAGTGCCACTTTGGTTACCAAATTTTAAAATGCGATAGTTTAGTATTCAAACTTTCAAAATGTGTTAATTTAATATTTATCGTTAATTAAGCGCTAAGTAACATTGAAAAGACACAAATGTCCTTTGACTGTCATCCAATTTTCTTTGATAACAAATGAACAGTCTCAAATCCTTCAACCTAAAAGGTTTTGATATACGATCTCAAAGAACCATTCAACCTAAAAGCTTAAGCTGTTAGGTGAGGTTCTTGAATAGATTTTTATTTTCTAACACTAATTCCTCTAGTAATTACAAAAGAGGAGAGAAACGACCTTTGACCCTCTTATTTTCTTTGGAAGTGATTGGCATTGGTGGTTCTGGTATGATTTTTGTTTAGATTAAACTCGATTGTCTTGTAACAAAAAATAAAAAAAAAATAAAAAACTAAGTTCCTTACTATCATTCAGAATTGGAAGTCCTTGGTTAGGAACTTAGGATGTCATTTAACTTCTTCTAAATGACCATGAGTTTGATATAGTATGCCATGTAACGTTGGAGTAAGTCAAAGTGCCAAGTTCGCTATGAAAAACAAATCACTGAGTCAAGAGAATGCTTTCTATCTTTTTTTCTCTTTTTATTTATTTATTTATTTAAGTTTTTTGAATATGAAAATATAAGAAAATGAAACCTAATTGGTGATCTAGCGGCTCTCACTTGTCAGATGACTCGGATGCCAAATCGGATGTTTGCCTTGTCAGTGGCCGAGCTGAGTTGGATTGAGCTAGGGCTGGCCGACTTGTGTTGTTCTGCAAGAGAAAAAGTTAGAGTGTCCGGGTTGTTTGTACCTGGGATGGGTAATCCGATGCTTAAGTGAGCGAGGAGTTTTTGAAGATTTAGAGAGTGTAAGAGCTTAATTGTGCGCGTCCCTCTTCAAGTATAAATGAGCCCTTTATATAGGCGTGAGTGGTTAGAGACCTCTTACAATGGGTCTCATGTTCTCGTGGAGCCATTTCCATTAAGTCGGGAGAATAATGATGTCGATTACATAATCTGCACGGGGGGTTGAGGTTTGTCCAATTAACTCTGATCCGTGCGGTGTGGGTAGGCCAGCCTAACAGTCAACTCATCAATGCTTCGGAGATCTTAGACTAGCAACAAATCTATGTGACAAGTCAGCAAGCATCCCTTGTAGGTCGCTTGTGGTACTTCTCATAGCTCAACTAGTTCAAAAGTAGGTCACCCCTAGTTTGGAGTCCTATTAGCTCGGCCAAGTCGAGGTATTCTAGGTTGACCTATGCGAGGTGCTACGAGCCGACTTGTCGAGGTGATCTTCTTACTTAGCACCGAAGTGTCGCTTAGATGCCATGTGTCGTGATGTCATTCGGAAGACCAAATTACCCCTCATTAATTGCCCTCGGCTCCTGAGCCAGTGTCAGCTCCGTGAAAGGAGTAGTTCTCAATATGGTAATTGGTCTGACTGGTTCATGGGATACTCAGCTCGCTCACCCAATTCGGTCCGTTGCCGGTTGACATCTCTTCTKATTCGTCGATACGAGAAGCAACATTATGCGGGACTGCGACAGAATTCAAATTTCAAATTTGAAAGAGGGGCAGGCTCAATGGGCATGCAAGATTCAAATTCAAAATAGCCCGTGTGCAGCGGCGTCTTCTCGACCATTGTTTCATTGTCAGTGCTCCTTAGTCGTTGCTTTCTTCTTAGCAGACTATAAATATGGGGTCCCCACTGAGGTCCCACTCGCACTGTTTTTGGATTTTTTTTTGAGGAAGAGGGTGACCGATCAGAGGAGGTCTCAATCGTCGTGTTGTTGTCTGTTCGCCTGTTGTGATCTTGTTTGTCGCCGGTGCCAGTTTCCCTATCCTTTTCACCTAGTGAGTAGTTTTCCTTGTAACTATGTCTTTTGAGCCTTCTAAGGGTAGATCGCTAAATTTTCCGTGGGTGAGGGGGAAGCATTCACCACGAGATGAGGAGGACTCTCAGGCCGAGACTTCATTGTCTCAACCAGAGGCCAAGGTGGAGGCCCGAGAGGAGGAGTCTCCCTTCGATCCGATCGAGCTATCCGGAGAGCATATAGTTTGACTGCATCTAGCCCAACCCTGACTATTTTCCCTGGAGTTACAGCCGAGACGAGGTCTGTGTCTTCGAGGAGGCACTAGTTGTTGGCCTTCACTTTCCTTTACATCCTTTCATTCCCGTTGTACTTTATAACTATGGTGTCTCTTTAGATCAGCTTCATCTCAACGCTGTCCAAACTTTGATAGGTATGATCTCTTTATGCCATCACCATAATTTTCCTTTAGATTTAGACATTTTTTTTGGGCTATGTGTTATGAAAAAGGTCCCCCACGTCCCCTACTATTTTTTTCTTCCTTTCCACAAAGGCCGCAAGCTTTTAGACAACTTTCCCTCGAAAGTTAAAGATTAGAAGAACATATACTTCATCCTCTCTCGTAGTACTGGCTGGAACATGGACACTATATGGCGGAGGGATTGCTGGAAATTCGACGTAGAATTTGACAAAGAACTGTGACGTGAGGTCCAACGCCTCGTGCGTTAGAACTTTAAAGTAGGAAATTTTTTGGCCGAGTATATGCTTATTCGGGTTGGCTTGAGCCATGTAGGTAAGTCGGCCAACTTGCCCTTCTATATTTTGCTTTGGTATTTAATTTTCAGCTTGGCTAACTTCTTTCTTTCTCTTTTCAGATATGGATAGTATGGAATCACTCTTGGTGGCATCCAAGAAGAAGACGTCTAGAAAGAAGAGGAGGGCCAATCGCTCTTCCATGGAAGGTTCCTGAGTCACCGTCATACGCTCCAAATGTCGTCTACCTAGAGGGAGGCAACGACCTCATGAGCACCAATTAGGGCTCCATGGGTCCTGCTACCTTCTCACCTCAGATCAGTCAAGAGGAGCATCCTGCCGGCCCTTATTCCTTGGATATTCCTCGCTTCGTCCTGAACGTTGATGTTTCTATATTTGACCGCCTTAACAATCCATATGTGGCTCTTCAGATGGGAAGAGGCATGCTCCTTCCTGAAGATGTTTAGTATTACCAAGGCTTGGACCCAGCCGACATCGGTGCTCGAATGACTCAGTGTATTTTTCAAGTTTGTCATTTTACCTTTTGAAGCTTCTATGTTCTTGTTCTATAGCTTTTGTGTTGACTGTGCTTTTCTTCTTTTGGTAGGTGTACACCATGGGCCAAGTTCTGTTGGATCAGGTCACCTTAGGCCAAAGGGAAAGGTGCAAGTTGTAGACAAACATCGAAGCTTTGCAGTCTCAAATGTAGGGTATTCAGATCAGCGCTAAGTAGGATCACCAGCAATTTATCCAGCTAAGTGGGAAGATGCAACGCGAGTTGGACAAGGCCAAGGAGACCATTGCTGCATAGGAGTGCCAACTGGAAGAGAGGTGGACAAAGTACACTGAAGATATCCGTCGAGCAAAAATAATAGCCATCGAAGGGGATTTAAGCTTTGTCGCCGCTACTTGAAAACCTTGCACCCTGACTTTGACTTCGGCACCTTCTCTATTAACGATGTGCCAGACGAGCTTGCTGTGTAGGTTGATCGGGAGCCTTTGACTCCTGATGAAGAAGAAGACATAGCCGATGCAGAAGAGGGCGGAGAGGGTGATGATGTCAACGATGAGTTGCAAGGCAGAGATGAAGAATAGATTGGCCTTGATGTCGAATGTTTTTGGGAGCCTGTATGCTCCTGTAAGTTGATGTTTCTCCGGCCTACGTGCCCATGTTATTCAGACTTTTGTTACTGGAGGGTTCTCCTCTCTTCTTTTCTTTTCTTCTCCCCTTTCTTTTTCTTTTTCTTTTTTTTGATGTCCCTCGACTTTAAAGACTTAATGAATTCCACTCTGTTTCTATACATGATTTCTCTTTCAATGAAAGCGATATGACATCCCTTAGGATTCTTTTAACCGAGTTGCTGGTAGGTCGGCCTGGGTGCCTTAGTGCTGAAAGCGATCTAGCATCCCTTAGGATTCTTTTGACCAAGCTGACAATAAGTCAGTCTGGGTGCCTTAGTAAAATTTTGCAAATTCGCAAACGTAGTTCAAAACTCTTCTTTTCTTTCACAAGTAGTATTTCTTTAGGTTGTCTATGTTCCATGCACGAGGTACCATCTTCCCCTCTAGTGTTTTGAGCTCATATAAGTTTCCACCAATCACTCTGAACACTCTATAAGGACCTTCCCAGTTTGGACCTAGCTTTCCCACATCGGG